CGAACTGCCTCCAGCTTCATGGTCGAAGAATAAGCCAAACAAGCAGCAAAAATACACACTTCATTATGTCTTATCTATATCTAAATATTTAATGGTAGTGCTAGTCTGTTTGTATGGATGTGGGACTTGGTTTTTGCTGTAAGCGGAATATATACTCGTAAATTGTGGTCATCTGAGAAATGTTGATGACGTATCTATTTGAAAGTGAAGTAAGAGAGAAACGGAAGAAAATTTTGCGTGAAACGAACCTTAATCATTTACGGTATGTGTCCAATTTTGTAATCAATTAAAGACGGGTGAGGTGAGCAGAAAATGCAATAAACTCCGTATCCGGTAATCTGCAAGCGAACTATACCGACCGAGCGACCGCCGCTTGTCGGCGAAGTTAGTGTCAGCTTTAGAAGATAGAGGGTGTCGCGTGGTCAGAGCAACGGATGCCCACGGCCGTTAATCTCGGTTTTCTAGACCTGAGCCACTGCTTCCTTGAAATACCACCTCAGTTATCCTCACGAGGCTGAGTGGACCCCATTCCAGACTCGCTACTTCTCAGAAAATCTGGTAGCGCCTGGAATCGAACCCGGGACCTCTGGATCTGTAGCCAGGAACTCTGATCACTTGACCACAGAGGCGGTCTAGAAACTGCAATAAGGGCGAAGAAATGTGAAATTTATACGAAAGTTTGGTCCGAAGCTCTCAGAGTAAGTGTAACCTTGGTGAAATAGGCTTAGACTGATAGATAATACGAGTGTTATAATTGTCCTAGTGGAGAGAGGTTATGAGACTGTGGAGATGATTAGGCTGGCTCAGAATGGGATCAAATGGTAAAATTTGTGAACAAAGCGGATCTTCGGGTTGCCTGAAAGAAAGGAGTCAGTCTTTTGAGCAGTGTATAATATCATCTTAAGAAGTGTCCGTGTTCTCAGGAAAGGAAATGTAGACTGTCTGCATGAAAAAAAAACTATTAAATCCGCCATTAACCTCAAAGAAAACGTGAGAAATATTGCTCTTTCTTTCTTTTGTTTGTGACCTGATTCGCATGACCAAATGCATGTTCGTTGAACAGTTATTTGTGACAGAGAACTCAATACCTCAACTTCTGTTAGTTCGTGCATGTCAATACGAGTTCAAGCTCGTGCCCCATATCTGGCGGTTTGAGTGGCTTACAAACAGAAGTTGACGTTTTATGGACTGTTTAAACTAATGCACCTTTCTGTGTCAAGCTTTTGAAAAAAATTGCATGGTGTAGATGAAGAACAAGGTGCCAACAGGGCATGACTCGTCTTCTGGTTTCATATGGAAGAAACGGATTCCAGATATTGAGGACATCTGGTAATATATTGAATAATTCAGTAACGAGACCTCATAAATACAAAATAGAATAGATTGGTCTAAAATTCTGTTTTTGTAACACTGTGTTTGGTTTAACACAAGTTTAAATTTTGCTGTTCCCATGGCGTTTAACATAAATGCCTTATGTCCAGTGTTATGGGATTCCTTGACTCCATCGAAGATGATCTTTTTATGTAAAGGAATCTGATCAGGACTAGCGAAATTTCACCACTCTCACCTTTAGAAACGTGTCAGATTTATCGGTACTCCGCCACAGTAAAAGGAAATTTCCATTCACTATTAAACAAGACGTTATTTGTGTTGTTAATTATTTAAATAGTTTTATGTACATTGTTGCATAACATGTTTGGATTATTTCTATTAATAGTTACCATATGAACAAAAGAAATTAACTTGCATGTAACAAAAAGCAAACAAGGAGAAGGAGGCTGTTTCTAAAATATGCTGTACCTAAAAATCTCTCCGCCCACGTAGCCATTTTGGTTCGTCTGCTCTGTTGCGCCGGCGCCGGATGTAACAATCTCTCAACTAGTCACGACTCTCGCTGCTTATGTGGAATATACATGTTAATACCTAATGTTTTGGAACGTATTTACCCATCATGCACATCAAGGATTAAACCGTTTGACTTATATTTACTTTAGTTCCCGTTTCTGCTGGCAGTACTTCTATCTGTCTCTCTTCAAAACACGTGCCATTAATGGCGTCGATATAATGTACGAAGAATAACTGAGATGACAGAGCAATTGCTATCAGTGTCACGCTTCAGGAAGGATTTTATATTATGATAAAGCACAGTAATAAACAGAAGAACATGTCTTTCTATTTGTCCTAAAATGTGTGTGGCCTTCACAGTAAAAGTGATCAGTGTTATTGGGCCGATTGACTCACAGAGACACACGGACATGAGACGGGAAGATAAAGGTTTATGCTACTCGCTCGATTATTCATGAAGCAGAAGGTTCATTACCACGTTCACAAGAGCCCTTCACTGGTTTTCCCGGAGTCAGATGAATAATTCTGCAAACATACAATATATTGCTTCAATGTCTACTATAATTCTTGGATAGCGTAGTCGGTATAGCGACTGGCTACGGGCTGGAAGACCAGGGGGTCGGAGTTCGAGTCCCGGCGAGGGCAAGAATTTTCACTTCACCATATCGTTCAGACCGGCTCTAGGGCCCACCCAGCCTCCTATCCAATGACTACCGGGGGCTCTTTCCCCGGAGGTAAAGCAGCAGGGGCGTGAAACTGATCACTCGTATCCAACTAGTTCCGATGTCTAATGTGGGTCTATACATCGACTCGCCCATACACCTTCATGACGTAGTTAAGCGCAGGGGAAACTTTAGCTTTTTACCTTATCTACTATAGTTGTTTCTTCTTCTGTGCGTCTAGGCCTCCCAAACAACCTCTCGCAGTTTAGGTTTCCGAGAAACTTAGAACAGTGGTACCACAATAACTGCATATAATTTCCAGCAAAAAAAACGAAGCAGCCGTTACGAGGCAAACTTAATTGTGAGCACTGACTTTGCATATTGAGACTGTATAATTTAATTAATCTTCTCTTCAGGAGTGTTGGTAAAATGTGAGGGTAATGCGAGGCCTATTTGGAAAATAACCTCCGGTCAGCTTTTAACAAAACAAGCATGAGATACAAAAAGTATTATATATAAAAAATACGTACATGCTTAAGCTATTTCTCAACGTAGTCACCATGGTAAAGGAAGGACTCGCTTGTAACAGGGAATAAGTTTCTATATGCCTGTGTGAAAGACGTCTGCCACCTGTGAGCTCAGCCACGTTTTGACACCTTCCATCAACTCTTCATAATTGTTGAAGCGCTGTGATCCCAACCAGTTCTTCAGGTAGGTAAACAGGCGGTAGTAACTCGGAGCGAGATCAGAGCTGTAAGGATGGTGGTCAAACAACTCCCAGTTGAAATGCTTCAGTAGTGCTCGAGTGTGAGGAGCTATATATGGAAGCGCATTTTCATGTAGGAGCACTACATCGGATGTCAGCATTCTATGGATGTTTTGTTCTGAATGGCCCTACGGAGTTTTTAGTGTTCCTCATTACACTTGTGACGTTATTGGGATCCCTTGTTGCATGAATTTCACCATCAGCACTCCTTTCCTGTCCCAGAAAACCGTTTCCATCAGCTTCCCGGCAGGCAGACAATGTTTGTTCAAATATTTTTTGCTTGTTTGGTGAATGTGTGGACATCCATTGCTTTGACTGCTCTTTGGTTTCAACATTCACAAATGAAACCCAGTTTTATCACTTGTTACTCCCACAATGTGACTGAGAAATTCATCGCAACATTTGTGGCATTGCTCTAAAGAAAGTCAAAGAAGAAGCCATTCTCTGCATTTTACGCACACCCGCCAGCGTTTTCGGAACCCATCTTGTGATAGCCTAGCCTAATTATGATAATATCTTAGAGAACCGTGAATGAAATTTGTGGAAATTCACACGAAAATTCTGAAATTGTGAAGCTCCGTCTTTCACGAACATTCTGGTCCACACTTCGATTAAGATCACCACTCACTACAGATGACCGACCACTTCACTCTTCACCGTGAGTATTTGTTCGCCCATCTTTGAAGATTCTGCACCATTGTCTTACAGTTCACTCATTGCATTTTGACCGTAAGGCGCGCATAATTCACGGTGGTTTTGCGCAGTACTCATGTTTTATGGTGAAAAAAGCGCATAACAGCGCGAATATCGCATCTGCCGGGATTATCAATCGCAGGCCACACCATAACTCAGTCTGTAGAGACAAGAACAAACACTGGATGGCCTGTCATGTGATGGTTTAGAAGAAAATGAGTCATGTGACGCTGCCCCGCATGCGCGAGGTTACTTTTCATTTAGCCCTCCCATTAAAAAATGAGATTGAAATTTACGCCTCCCCCTTTTGGGTGGTTGGCTTAAAGTTTGCTTACTATCATCTCCTTGACAGACATGCTAGCGGGTATATAAAATCCTTGTAGGGTCACCCACACGAAGACAGACCGAAAAGTATGGGTCAGACGAAAGGCAGCTAGCTGTTATCTAGGTGAGGGGTTGGGCCTGAGGCTAACAACCTCACCTCAGGAAACAAAATATGCTAACAAACCTAGCGATGGATCCTGGATAGCGAAGCAACTGAGGAAAGTTTATGCAGACAATAAGTTATATCTTGGTAAAAGTCGACAAATCCGGAGAGAGAAGGCTGAAAAAAATTAGCAGATATGAAAGCGTAGAGATGGACAAAAGAAGCGAATAAGAGGGAAGAATAGCCATGTGATACAAATGGAGCCAAGGTTCTTAGCGGAATGTACAGCGAAGGATTAACTGAGTAAGAAATTTGTGCCCGAAGTGCTGTGCCTTCTGGGATATAAAGCTGTGTATTTCGGCATTTCGGAGGAACATATCGCCTCCACCTTAGAGCACAAGAACAGTCCAAGCAGGAAACCAACATAAAGCTGGCTTCTTGCTTTGTTTATTCTTCTACCCTGAAGATGGATGCGATGCTCCTCCGAAAAAAGAATCTGTTGACTTTCACCAGACTTCGAAGAAGACAAAATCCTTCATAGTCATTACTGTGAGAAGCTTAGACCCAACAAATATTTGCTTTTCTACAGTCATGTTTTAGGTCTCACCTGCATCTATCGAACTTTGCGTATCTCCTCCAGTCCACGGGGTTGCTCTTGTACATGCTCATGAGTTGCTGCACGTACTCAACGTTCACAGTCTCCGACTCGAACACTACATAAAGCTCTCTGATAAGGTCTTCCAGCGTCGAGATCACTGGCGTCTCGGCGCAGGGTTTGTACTTCGTGTGCTGTCCTTCACGGTAAGATTTGACGTAACTCTTCTGCCTCGCTACGTCCATTTTATGATTCCACTCGAATCCGTGGTAAAATCCTACAAAAAATAACAATTTATATATAAACACGTATCTAATTTCAGTGTGACGTATATGACAATATATTGTGTTATATTTGCTCGAAGCAAGAATTGTGGAGCCATAGAAACTGCCACTCCTAGGTAACGACTGCGTAACACCAAACAATGGAATGACTGTTGGAAGCGGTGTTTTCTGTGTGGTCCGTGCCGAGGCTGTATAACGAGGACCAACTGCAATTACAAGGGAGTCTTGAGACGGCGGTCAGAGGATTAGAAAATTGATGTGAGATGCCCGCTAGCCTGCGATGACGCGATCCCGGGAGAAGAGGAACGTCCACTGGTGAAGACATAGCAGGCTTACTGCGTGTTGTAGTGAACTGTAGATTGCGCGATTTAGCGCTAGCGCAATAGTTACTTGTAGTTACAATCTGTAAATGTTCAATAAATCCGATTACCTATCCAAACCCCGTCTATAGTCACACTCATACGCGTGACAATATAATCTATTGCAGTTCTGACACTGGGGATGCTTTAACTCAGGGAGCCAACATCGCGGTTAAGTGTTTCATATTCATTCTTCGTCAGGAACCCGCGTTGTAGCTTGTCTTCGTTATGTTAATTCGCATTTTCGAATTTATTATTTATTATATTTTTCTTTATTCATCACCTTATTCACAATTAATTAATTTACCCAACCGATTACTTAATAACTTAAATATATTTCTTTCAAAAGTTCTAAATTATTTAATTATTTTTCACTGATAGATATTCAGATATTTCCCCTCCTAATAATTGACTCTGAATTGATAAATATTTTCGTCACGCTACACGATATTTTGAATGGGATCGAGGCTGTAGAACTTCCTTTTTATTACAAAACTACACCGGGAAATACTTTCATGCCTCAATTAGAGTTGGAAACTGCGACGGCCATGTTACCTGCTTAAAACTGCTTGCTCACTGGAACAAATTCTGACGTGTTTATCATGACGTAACAAATCTGACATTCGAATCTGAATGTTACTGTCCGTATTTCTTATCCCAAACGGACCTTTTGGGCCTTATTCTTCATCGCTTACTTTAGTGGTCAGTTCTTTTTTCTTCTTCGTCCTTAGATGTTTCCGTTTTCATGTGGATCGTCTTTCAACTTAAACTCTCTGCATATCTTAATTCCGAAAGATCCTGACGACGGTGTATAACAGAATTGCTGCATTTTTACAACTTTCTCCATCGTCCGGTATTCTAAAAACTAGAAGACACAACATCTCGGAAACAGGATCTGTGTTCATCCTCAAATGAGGGGATAGACACCTACTAAGTATCTAAGAGACCCAAAAGATAGGCGCCCCCACCCTCACCTGAGGACGGAAAAAGATCTAGATTCCGAAACGTGTTCTCTATTCTATTAGAATACCGAACGATGGACGAAGTCCCAAAACGCTGTAAATTGCCGTACAACTGGTTCCCTGAAGGCCTTTGCCTTAATGTTCCGCCATGTTTTTCCTTTCCTTCCTTGTTATTCTAAGCTTAACATCCGCCAGTTTTGGGGTGTTTTTAATATGACTTTCAAAACCTTCTTCGGATATCGTCTTCATTCCTTCTTAATACCTGAACATTCCGTGTGACCGGTTTCCCCATAAACTTAATTTACTTACTTTAGTTAGGTCCGTGGGTCAATATGCTCAGTCCTGTCTGTGACAAATATTTAGAATATTTTTAGGTAAAAGTGAATATTTTGTGTGTTATTTCAGTTATACAATTTCAGCAGTACCTTGTGCACAGCCTCGAACGAAATCCCAATACTAGCAAGGTGAGCAGGCAAGCGAGACTGAGTTTCAGTCGTTGTTAGCGTACATCAGAAACCGAAAAGTTAGTCAGTGACGCTGCTCTTGCGCTTCGTCCCTTGCCTGCCACATTCACTGTCACGCGCTGAGGCTTATATGAATTCAGAGTAAATGATAATAAATAAGGCATAAGAGATTAACATTTTACAACTTACTACACTTCTTCTGTAAGCACAGACAATTACCTAATGGTATAAAACCGCTTATAGCTGGATTCTTTACTTTGACTTCAATATATTTCCTTAGGCCTATGCTTATGGAAAAAAAATGTTCACGTCACAGTCAACAGCAAATAAACAAATTGTAGAATATGTAACTCTTTGGCGTTTGTAACGATTTCTTTATCAGAGGAGGGGATAAAGAGGGAATGCTACACCAAAAGACGGGAAATCTTCCTCCCCTCTATGTTAGAAATAGGTAAGCTTTCCCAAAAACAAGAAATTTCCTCAAGCTCTGACTAAAAACGTAATTCGCGTCGTAATTATTAAAATAGTTTAATTTACATTGTTACATGTTTAGACCTCTGACACGATATGAATTAAACTAAATTTAATTTAGCGAAAAGTAAATAAAAGCAGAATATTCCGTAAAGTATACCGTTCCTGAAATCTTTCCGGCCCAGAAACCCGTTTGGTTTGCCCTTGCTGTTGCACTAGTTCTTCTTACATTTGTCTGTGTCCTGTTACCGTAGACACTGATGTATGTAAAACTCCGTGGCTTTAGTCCGCAAGCGAACTATACCGACCGAGCGACCGTCGTTTTTCAACGAAGTTAGTGCCAACTTTTGCGGATAGAGGATGTCGCTTGGTCAGCGCAACGGATCCCCACGGCAGTTAATCTCGGTTTTCTAGACCGGAGTCGCTAATTTTCCATTCAAGTAGTTCCTCAATTATCCTCACGAGGCTGAGTGGACCCCGTTCCAGACCCAGTACTTCTCAATAAATCTGGTAGCGCCGGGAACTGGACCCGGGGCCTTTAGATCTGTAGCCAGGAACTCTGACCACTAGGTCACAGAGGCGGTCTACTACACAAATATTTATTGACGAACATTGATCTACAAATCGTGCAGATCACTTTCGTAAGAGTTAAGAGTTTATCGCTGCATCTTTCGTATCAAGGCTTTCTATTCTGAGTGCGTAGCAGTTTGCTTTAATTAGACTTTACTCAGTCTAGGGGTATATGGATGATCTAGTAATGCCTTACGGACTCCATCTTTGTGTGGTATAAAATCATTTCATTTATCCTTAAGATAGAGGTTCAACCTAAACGTTGGTATATAATTACGAGACTACACGACGTCACGAGTAAATTTTACATGCCTTTCTCACCCCCAACCAGTCTCATCCATCTGATCACCCTGATACTTTTAGGTGAAAAGTAAAATTTGCAAACCGCCTCATAATGTCATCTTCTGCATCCTGGGCTGTCAGTACACGAGTTTCGAACGGCCTCAGTCTTTGCTCTTCCGTGGGAACAAATTTCACGCCAACACAAAAAGCAGTTGAAGTTACAATTTTCTGTATTAGGTAGAATTTGAATTTCTTACAGCAAAACCATTTGCTGCCTTCTTTATGCTGGTTTCTTGCTTGTCTTACTCTTCAGCCCTAAAAATGGAGGCGACGTATTCCTCCATGTTCCAAAAGACAGAACTCTTTATTCTTTATGTTGTTAGATAGGAGGAAGAAAGAACAGAAATAATTATAAATTTAATTTAATTTGCTTTTACCTTCTTTTCCAGTAACCCCAAGATTCTACAGAACTTTCTCTACTGTATGACATGACCCCTCTATATGAAAATCGTTTGCAGGAGAAGTTTTCGACGACGTGTCACTGCGTATTTTGTCCTAAGTCAAGAGCTCAACGCTGGGTAATCTGCCCCTTAATTTTTTGTCACAGTCAAGTCCTGTAGATAGTTACTGACGTTTCGGAAGAACATGCTGCCTCCATTTTCAAGGTAGAAGACTCCTCCGAAACACTGGTAGCTCTCTACCACACATAGCAGCATGACGCCCTACTCACAAAACACAACAAACTTCGGCGTCACTTCCATGCGAACTCACATCTCTCATAACTATTATTGCTTAGTTTCGTGCGTTAATATTGATACACTATGTCTTTCCTTCTTCAGAGGTTTAGGCTATTGGCCTGTTTCCGACTTCAAGACAATATGTCCTCCTGTCTAGCTATGCATTGTCCGACACTTCATTGTATATTGTTTATTTCATCACATTTTCCATTCGTTAACACCATCATCATCATCATCTGCTTCAAGGTAGGCTTCCTTTAGCCCGCTCCGTCTCAAGGATCCTCCTCCCGTTGTCTTCTCCTTCGTCTAACATTTCTTCTTCCGTCCGGTTGGTAATTCTTAATCTTTTCGGGTCAGTGGTGAAGAGTCCATTCTTCAGATGTGATTATGCCACTTGTTTTTGTGCCCTTGGATTCTTTCTCCTGAAGCATATATCTGTAATGCACTGCGTACTTTCGTGTTGCGTACATGGTCTGTAAGTGCATACCCAGAGACGCGCATTTCTGCATCTTCCGTTCGTATCTGATTTTATCAAGGCTTCTCTTGCATCATTCTGTGTGGATCAAGAGAAGGAGAGCTTTAACAGCTAACCCCTACCCCTCTCACAGATATGATCCGGAGTCACAGACCTCTGAAACGACGGAATTTCCCCTCGCTTCAGGGGACAGCAACATTGAAAAACATTAGGTAACTTTAATATTGCCCAAAGCTGAAGTCCGTTTACAGGATCTCCCTTTCACAGTTATTCGCCTCGTCAATAAACCTTATATTTTTATAGAACCCTAATATCCATCATCGTCGTCACAAAATCCTGTTATGGAGTTCATATTTAACTTTATATTCATCCAAGATCCATGTTAATGTTATATTTCCGTCATTGTCTACGTCTTATTTTGGCTTTGCGTCCACATTTCCACACTCCTTCCTCTCGTTTCTTGTACCCCATGTCTCATATTGTGTGAAGTTTCCGATATTCAACTTACCTTGCTCCTATCCCACATAATCTCTAACATGGCGAAATATTCTTCTCAGAATTCGTTCTCGTATTCCCTTACTCACCGTGTTTCTATCAGAGAGACGAAGTCTAAATATGCCCATGTAAACAAGAGTGCAAAATTTTACACGAGTTTGGAGAATACATATTTTCCTAATTTAGTTTTTGGTTTTTGCTTACCTAGTTGTCAATTATGTTCTTGTAGTTGAAATCCGCCGGTCACGGTAGCCAAGCGGTCTAAGGCATGTACTGTCTTCGCTCGTTTGGAAGCCCAGATCGTAAGTTCGATATGTGGTATGTGTATGTGTTTAGGTAGAGGCCTTGCGACGAGCTGATCACCCGTCCAAGGAGTCCTACCGTATGTAAGGATGATCATAAAACTAAAAATCAGAGTCCAGGGCCCAAGGGGGCTGTAGAACCAGTGAAAAAAGAACTGGAAATCCAAATGTATAATTGCAGTACAAACCCATTTCTCCAGAAGCTGACTCCAGTATCCATATTACTCGTACAGTTCATAGAATCAGAATACTGTGTTAAATATATGCCATATCAATAATGTTTTAGGAAAGTCCGTATGCAGTGAAGATATCTATATTGTGTGCTGTCAGTTTCTGTATAATGAGTCGTGTTTGAGGCTATCATACAGTTTGATATAAGCGTCATACGAACCACTATCCTGCAACGAAGAGAAGGTAAGGCAAGTGGCGGGTAGAAATGATCGACCCTGACCATTGTACCGTTCATTTATGGGCACATAATCTTAATTGACCCACCCAGCTTCAACTTCCAATGGACACCAAGGGGTCTTTCTCTGGGGGTAGGGCGACCGGGGAGTGAAGCTAACCACTCGCGCCCATCTAGTGCAGAGGTCAAGAATGGTTGAGCCATACCTTTACTCCCCATACGTCTTCATGACGTGATGTTTAATTAAGTAAGCACGTGAACAATTTTACTTGTGACAAGTTTTAGTGTGGAACCCCATAAGGGGTTCATTTAATCACTTTTTTTAATTCGCTTAGTGGGCGGTGGAGTCCAACTGGGTCCACTCGGCACGGCGGCCACTGTTTGGCCTATTGTAGCCTGCCCCGGGTGATTATGATGATGGAGAATTTGGTGGAATGAAGATTGGCAGGGGAAACCGAAGTACTCGGAGAAAACCCGCCCCAGCGCCACTTTGTTCACCACAAATCCCACTTGACCAGACCCGGGATCGAACCCGGGCCGCCGCGGTGGGAAGCCAGCGACTAACCGCTTGAGCTATGGCGTGGCCCATTTAATCACTGAGTGCAAAGAGCATGTAAGACGCAAGTTACGAATTTGGTATCGTGTACTCGAAGTCGATACGTCCAAATTAACGATATACCAAGCAGCAACGGTTACTGTACTCGTACATATTCTGGATTTCATAATCAAATTTCTGATCTCGGCGTGTTGAGCTTGTCAGAGCTGTAATAGTTCTGATTATGGTACCATGTAGCCCCGTAAATGTTTACCAGCGGGTGAAAGGATCTGCTGTTTTCATCTTCTGAGCTGAATATGAAGGCAGAACGATGTAGATTCCTCCGAAACGTCGACAATCGCCTATGAGACTACGCTGTATTATACCCAAAATTTTAAACTTATGCTTTCAGTTCAGCCGAGGCATCACATTTTTCTCTAAAGACATGACGCAATTAAGAACGTTATCTTCAGGGAAGTTGCATCGTGAAGTTCGGTAGATAGCAACTTGTCAGCAAGTCGTGTTCTTAATGTTTACTTCCTATAGGACCTCACATCACAAGTCTGTTAAGCGTTTGTGTCCTTAGCAGTTTTCGTTGCCTGGAAGGTGAAGGTAAAAACTGTTCATCACCCTATAAAAACACATGGGGGAGTGCAGATATATCTCTAGCGTTCCTGAACTCGGCACTAGATGTAAGTGAGTTATCAGCTTCACGTCCCGGCCGCTAAACTCCAGGTTAAAGAGCCCCCGGTACCCATTGAAAAGAGACTTTGTGGGTCCCGAGTCCTTCTGGACGCGGTGGAGAGGAAAATATCTTTCCCCTGCCGGGAATCGAACAACAACCGTTCACCCCGTAGCCCGTTGCTACACCAACTGAGCTATGCCAACTCTGGAAATTGTTCAGTGCCTGAGTAACAATAAGTTTAAGCATAGTGGACATTGTTTATTGTATTGAATTGACATGAAGTGAATTGCAACGTCCACTGCTTTTGCATGTGTGGAATACTTTGCATGATTCTGCGTACAAAGTATACATTTTGTACAATTATTATGGGGTAGGCCGTCTGAAGTATTCTGATTTAGAATTATCTTCTGAAAATGTTGATGCTTTCATACTTCTGAAGGGATTCATTGCGTGACAACTCAACCCATCCCAACCTCTGTTACCCATTGCTGTAATCATGAAGCGAACCAAACGGTTTACTGCATACGAAGATAAAACTGTGAGCAGATTTCCCTATTTTTGAGAGCAAATTACACGATTGTAATGTTACGACGGCATGAGAAAAAAGAAATATGAACTTCTTTTGAAGTTCCTTCAACTACACCACCGCTCATATTGGTTATTCCTTTTTATAGCACACCAGTTTCAGAACATTATTATTGGTTACAATGTACAGATCAGCTAATATTTTTTTTGCAATGGCTCTTCCAGACCATTCAAAGCCCAGGCCTCTTATTCAGTTCCTTAATAATTTTTCACAGACGGTAGGACTGCTTGGGCAAGTGATCAGCCAGTCGCAAGGTCTCTACCTAAATACAGGACAACACAGACACAGAAAAACGCATACATACACCAAACATCCATTCCTCGAGTTGCATCCGAACCCACGACCCCAGCGTCCGAGCAAACGAAGACAGTACATGTCTTAGACTGCTCGGCTACGGTGACCGTCAGGTTATCCATTGTAAATTAACAAAATAATGAGAATGAAGAAGGAATTGATTGTTTTGCTTTCATAGACCTGCATAAGTTTCTATAAAGCTAGTGCATACGCAAACTGTTCGGAAAAGCAGCGAATATACCCCTCTCGTTGCGGAAAATAACAGGATATAGGGCGTACACCGTCGAATACACTACATTATACCACTGATGTTACGTATATAATAAGACTACACAATATAGAATTCCGTCAATGCCCCGAAAAGTTTTGAAACCCCCGAGATCCCAGTGCGAAAGAAACACAAAACCATTTACAAGAAATAAACCAAAATCTGTGACATTGTTTGAGTGTATCGTCCTGAGGCAGCGGGAATTAATATTAATCAATATTCGGGTTTGGTGTTTAATTTGCGTCCATTCTGCGTCATGCAATATAAAATAATTTAGAACCTTATATGTGGTTTCTTCCCAGCTGAAGCCGCCAGAGCGCGTCCACGCTTACAGCACTGCACAATCCGGTCCGAAACCTCTGCTGTAGCTGAACGAACTGTAGTCCCGATCAACCATCAGAAGACAAATGAAAGTTAACGCACCACACATCATTCAGTGTTCGTGGTTTTCGTTGTCATGACAACAGTCGTGACGAAAGTAAATGAGAGAAAAAAACAAACAAATCTTTGCTGTGTGTCTTCTGACCCTTGAAAAGTCAGGTTCTGTCTAGCCCAGGGAAGAGAAACAGCCCTCTTATCAGCAGCAAAGAAAAAACTTGTCACGATAATGGACATCCACTGTTACCGTTCTAATGTCACTATATTTCACTCCGGTCACTGTCGTGATATGAGAAGTTATATTTGAAGTCTATTCTCACGACAACAAAATAACTTGCATGAATCTCCTAGGTCGCTGTCTTGTGGGATGTGATATGGTGTAGATGGGTAGAAGAGGACCGACGTTTCGGAAAAAACTGCTGCCTCCGTCTTCAAAGTAGAAGACGAGGCGGTACATTCCTTCGAAACGTCGGTAATCACTTACCAAATTACGTATTATTATTATTTATTTAATATTATATATTTATTTATTATTATTTATGTGACAGGCGCCATATCCCACAAGATAGCCATCAAGGTAGAAGATGGAAGGTAAGGGCATCTTCGAAACGTTGATACTTTTCCATCAGACTATACGGTGTCACATTCCAGAAGACCATTCAGTTCCTTCGAAAAGTTGGTACTGTCCTACCATCCCTACACGGCGTCACAGCCCAGGACACATTAACCTGTGTAGAGGATGGACACAAAGGTCTCTTCCGCGAGTTTTGTACTTTCTGTCAGTCGATGCATGTTCACATCTAAGAAGAGAGTCATCTACATATTCACTGCATTAGGAATCCCAAATCTCACATAAATCTGTTAATTTGGGAATGCACTGACCCCTTCACATGATGAAGGGGGGGCAAACAACATGGGCGCTCGGCGCAGACGGAGGGAATGCAGCAAGGCATCTGCCGCCCTCGAATTAAAATAATAATAATATGTATTAATAAGTATGCTTTTTAATATTGTGGCGTATTGACCCGTTGTTAGGCGATGCTCTGTAAACAGCGACCGTATCTGGGCAACGGCTCGGTAAACACATAGCCGTTGCTAGGCAGCATATTCTTAATCATAAACAGTTGGACTACAAAAATGGAAACAGGATGTTTTTACGTTGTCCGTGCCGAGATGTTATAAGCAAGTCGGTTCATAGTCCCCCATGTAGAGGCGGGGTCGAATACTTCCACCTTGACCCTGCGAGTCGTAGGAGGCGACGAAAAAGGAAGGCTCAAATCTGAGATAGTAAAATATGGTCACGAGTCCCAAGGCACTCGTACCCGAGAAAGACTGCGCTGGCAAGGGCCAGTAGCATGTACAAAAGCAGACCCGTCCTCTCGTCAGAGAGGGCGTCCCATAAAACAAGACCAACTGTCAAGCAGTAATAAATATCTGGTTATGAGCCCCAGGCGGTGCTAGACATCAAGACTTACTGACTGACTGAACGTCAGTCGTAACGTGACTTTAACTTTGACAGTTGATAGTGAAGTGAATTGTCCTAAATCTCATGAGGGAAAAATAACCACTAGAATTCATAGGCGGAAGCTATTAAAGATAGGGCATGATCTCCTGTCCTGAGCCTGGACTGACAGAAGCCTTGTATATATTGTACTTTGTAAAAGACAACCCCGCAACTATCAGATAGAAAAAAAAAGTCCTAAGTCCAAAATGAGTACTTGACACCAAGATAGACTGGCCGACTGACCGTCGGTCGTAACATAAATTTGGCATCTTCTTTAGTTGCTAGCTAGTTCTACACGGGAAGCTGTGAACAGAGGACCTGAGTGCGTGAAGCTGAAGGATCTCCACTGTTGCTAACTAGTTCTGCACGGGAAGCTGTGAACAGAGGACCTGAGTGCGTGAAGCTGAAGGATCTCCACTGTTGCTAACTAGTTCTTCACGGGAAGCTGTGAACAGAGGACCTGAGTGCGTGAAGCTGAAGGATCTCCACTGTTGCTAGGGAACAGCAGGCCGGGAAAGGGCTTAACGGGTGCTGTGGTGATTTGTGAAATATGAAAATTAGCGGTGAAGCTGTAATTGCTTGCTGTTCAGAGTCGTGTATAAATGGTCAGTAAATCCATTCACCAATCCAAACCCCGTCTATAATCACCCCTACTACGCGACAATATTCTACTATCCTGAGAATTATGAGGCGATTATTACAAATAGTCATAAGAGGCTTAGAAGGAAGTTTGTGCTCAAATTTCCTAATGACTCAAAAGCAATCCATCGATCCTTCATAAAACGAAAAACTCTTAAAATGCTTTCATATAAATATTACTTGAATTTTACCTTGCTCTAGAATAAAATCTAGACCAATAATCTGCAAATACCGATTTGAAAACACTTATAAATATGACGTAATTCAGTATGTAGAAGTAAATGTCTATTAACGCCAGGAAACCCGGAAATATCGGAAGAACAACATTGTCTTATGCTCCTATCTTATGAATGGTAACATGGGGATAAAGGTAGCAAAGGAGAAAAATATTTGTGAAGATTTCTTGGATGTGACACTATATAGTCTGGTAGTTGTTTACCGACGTATCAGAGTAACATGCTGCCCTCATCTTCAGAGTTTATCAATATTATTCTGATAATGGAAGCAGCATGTGGCTTCAACGAGTCTGTAAACATGTACCAGACTACATGGCGTAACATCTCAGAAGATAGCAGTCTTAACAGTCGTTGTCGTGGTAACATATGATCAAAAATATTTGTTTAAAAAGTAAATAATTGCAAGGATATAAACATTTGTTTAAAATCCTCACTGGCCAAATGTTTCTAACTTCAATTTCCAAGCTTATTAACTGTTTTCATTACACATTTTTATATAAATTTTCTACCCAAAGCGCTTTTAATACTCTGACTCTAAGGGAGGAACATAGACTGAGTGTGTTTGAGAACAGGGTGTTCAGGAGAATATTTGGATCGAAGAGAGATGAAGCGATAGGAGGCTGGAGAAAATTTCATAAAGATGAGCTTCATAACTTCTACTTTTCTCCAAGCAATTAGAGTGATCAAGTCAAGGAGTATGAGATGGGCAAGGCATGTAGCATGAATGGGGGAGAGGAGGAATGAATATATGATATTGGTGGGAAAGCCGGAAGGAAGGAGACTATTGGGAAGAGCAAGACGTAGGTGGGTGGACAATATTAAAATGTATTTTAGAGAGATAGGATGGGATGGTATGGATTGGATAGATCTGGTTCAGGATAAGGACCAGTGGAGGGCTCTTGTTGACACGGTAATGAACCTTCGGGTTCCATAAAATGCTGGGAAGTTCTCGAGTAGCTGCACAATTGGAAGTCTCTCAAGAAGGGCTCAGCTCCATGAGAATTCAAGTTTACTGAAGGTCAGTTGGTGCGCGGTCTTGTGCTTCAGTCATACTTCGAAATGTTTAATATGACAGAGAAAAAATATTAGTTCCTCTGTGCTGAAACAGTCACCATTCCTTGCAGGTGTATGAGGGTGTAAACGTTAAGTCCCGTGACGCATTAGCTACAGCGCTAGTTCATGCCTCTGCCAGTAAATCACGCTACATGTTCACAAACTGAGTGTGCCCCAAAGGAGGCCTGGGACGAAGAGAAAAGTTCTTGTCGTGAGTCATACCTCCGCTGTCCAGCCCCTATACAGTCACTATACTTCCTGAGATCTCTCAGCTCCCTGCAAAAGAATATTTTCCGAAATTGCTGGCGTTATGTCTGCCTCCTAGGTGGATGCACGTATGTATAAAATAACAATTTTAAGATTTTTTCAGCACAAATGGAAAATTTGAATAAAAAATATTTACTGCAGATACTGGAAGCAAAATGCTAACAGAATATCTAAGCGGCACGCCGTAGCGTAGTTGGTTGAGTTACTATGCTACAACCCGGAAAGCAGCGTGTTCGATTCCCAATGAAGTCACTGGATTTTTCAGTTGACCTAATCCTTCCAGCCGCACTATGGCCCTGGGGTCGACTCAGCCTGTAACAGAAATGAGTACCATGGAGCTCCATGGGGGGAAAAGGGCGGCCGGCGCGTAAGACTGACAACTTCACCGACATCTGTGAGCCGATTGTCTAGAAAATGTGGGAGCCTCGACGTCTCACAACACTATGAGCCTCCACGGCCTGTTACAAGGATAGCTTTACCTTCCTTTTTACCAACAGAATATTTAAACTTGAGACCAATGAAGCGAGTAATGGAGAGTGTTAAACAAACAGGAGCTTCATAATGTCGGCGTACTACAGCGACAAAAGTATTGTTTATGGTAGTAACAGCACGGAGGTAAACATGAATGGGATCACTTGATTATTGCTTTACTTAAAAAGAATTTTTTGGTTACCTACTTTAGGTAGCATCAAATGATATGATGATTTGTGAATGATCAGTTGGAAATGGCCGGTCACGGTATGCGAGCCATCTAAGGCGTGAACTGTCTTCCCTCTCTCGGAAGCCGGGTTCGTGGGTTCGAATCCCACACAAGGCGTGTATGTTTTGTATGCGTTTATTCTGTATTTGGGTTGTCCTGTGTTTATGTAGAGGCCTTGCGACGAGCTGATCACTCTTCCAAGGAGTCCTACCGTCTGTATAAATTATCATGAAACTGAGAAATCAGTCCTGTGCTCCACAGTGGGAGCTAGAGGGGAGGAAAATTGGGAAGGAAGTACTCTTGCATGGAACCCGAATGTTCATCACCGTGTTCACAAGAGCACTCCTCTGGTCCCTATCCTGAGCCAGATCAGTCAAATCCATACCATCCCATCCTATCTCTCTAAGATCCATTTTAATATTGTCCACCTACCTACGTCTTGGTCTTCCCAGTTGCCTCTTTCCATCTGGTTTCCCAACATTATACATTCCTCTTCTCCCCCAATCGTGCTACATTCCATGCTCACCTCATTCTCCTTGACTTGATCATTCTAATTATACTTGGAGGAGAGTACAAGTTATGAAGCTCCCCATTATGTAGTTTTCTCCAACCTCCTGTCACTTCATCTCGGAAGTATGCGTAATCACA